AGGAAAGACAATAAAATGATGAAATGGAGTCCACAAGGGCTAAGGAATGGAAATGGGCAGAATCACCCTTCTAGAACAACATATATTGTAAAAATGAATGTAATGACAACAACTGTGAAGGATCTACACACTGAGGACTAAAATTCTGCAGTTTTTAATGCAATAGAAATGGGGTAGGAAATAGCACCATGGACTCCTTCAAGCTGGAACTACAGCCTTTTAAAATGATAACACAAATCTGATTTTTTCAATAGCACTATATCTAACACAGTACTATGAGATATCCATTTAACACAATATCCATGAATGGAATTGTGCAGTCTTATTACAGGACAGGTAACCAGTTGTTGATTTAAAAAAAGAAGAAAAGATGATGTATACTCCAGCACTGAGAGGCAGAACACACAGCTTTAACAAAAAAGTGACCACAAAAAATGAAGCAGAAGATTTATGAAATGGTGCATTTAAACTACAAATTGTATTTTAATGGACATTCAAGTATATATCTGGTATGTATGCTGATTACCCGTGATGCAGTGTACATGGGAATAGACATCCAGATGAGGATGCATACATTATGAATATTTCACTGTAATACAGTATGGATGCAGCATATATGCATTCCAATATGCATGTAGATGCACACCCAATTTCCCCCATAGTCCTTTAAGCTCTGGGTTCCATTGTTCCTCAGAAATTAAAGGATCCTATGGTATAGTAGAGCTCACTCTCCTCAGATCTTGGAAGCTAAGCAGGGTCAGTACTTGGATGTGGGACCACCAAGGAAATCCCTGCAGATGAAGGCAATGACAAATCACCTCTGCTTCTCACTTGCCTTGAAAGCTCCTTACTAGGGTTGCCATCAGTTGGTTGCAACTTGACACCACATGCATATGTACATATAGGACAAGAAGGGCAGAGTTTGGAGAAGGAACATCCTGAGTTCACACTCTCCAAGGCTAATGCTTCTCCCCTTCTTTAAACTGGGAAGTGCTTTTACCACTTGTAATTTAAAAAGGCTCTTTTAATGAGGGAGAATTTGGCTTGCTGATTGTCATCTGACCACAAGGCGTTAAGTCCCAGACCGAATCCCAACTTCAGCTTAATTCCCAGCTCCAGCTGGTGAGTGCTTGCACCCACATGTTGCTTTTTGCTGACAATATATGCATGTTCCTCAGTAGAAAACCTCAAACAAAAACTGCTTTTGCTGAACCCAGGACTTCCCTGTATACCCAGGAGGTGCAGGGTCTTCCCATTTAGGGGTAGAGCAATGGCAACTTAGGAATATGGCAAACTGGCACCTGTATATTGCAGCAGCATAGCATACATTTCAGTAGCAAGCAAACTTCCCTACATTTCCCACATGGTCATAGGTAATCAGAGACCGCAGAGATGACTGTGGAAGTTCCCAAGGACCCACTGCTCATATGGATCCAGACAGCAGCGACGTAAGTGGAGTTCTGATCAACTCTTTTCCTTCCTATTCTGGCATTCCACCTGGTGTGCTATGGACATAATTCCAATTTTTGAACATGGAAAAGTGCATATATCAGAGACCATCACCTGGCCACAGAAAGCCCTGTTGGAAATGCTCTGATTTTTCAGACAACTTAATTGTTACAAAAATATTGACTCTGCTATTTAAATGTGCCACAGCTAAGAACGTAAGCCAACCTGAACAGTTACTAGCATGTCAATATCCCATACCTTATAGCCCACTGGGTCCCCATACGTAGTAAGAATGTACAAATAATTGTTTCTGTGCTCGGCATGGTAAATAATCCCTTTTGTTCGTTGTTGCACAAGAACAGGAGGTTTAAAAGGGTGGTGACAATCAACTAGCCATACTTCAGAGGTAGTCTTGCTATTACTATTTATAGTCAGAAAGCGCTTGTCTTTTGTGCAGTAGAGATCCACAAAATATCTGTAATCAAACAAGAAACAATGTAATGGTTAGGGAATATAGCACAAGTTCACCCGTGGGACATCCAGAATATCTGTAGAACAGAAGATGGCATAAAGGGTAAATGCAGAAAGTTATGTATCCAATTTGTGAATGTGCATAGACTTAGGAACATAATACATTCTAACAGATGGGATATAAAACCCAATGGTAGTTTTATATATGAATCCCACTAAGAGATATGAAGGAGGAGAACCACAGCCACATCTAAAGACATGGAAGGTGTAATGTGAGATTGTAATATAAGTGCCTATCTCCAAGCACATATCACTGTACAGGAAGGAATGACCAAGGGAGCTTTCAGAGGGCTGCTGAGAACCCATGATGCAGCTTCCATAGGTAACTTGTCTCTAATATGCTTAGCAACAGGGGAAAAAAAGAACTCAGTTGTCCAAAGATTTTAAAAAAGCATATCATAAAGCCCTGTTCACATTTATCCAGAGCACTGTTAAGCCAAAGCATGAATCTGCTCATATAACACACTGCCAAAGTATAAAAGCCACACAGAAGAATCCTCCCGATTACTTTCCCCTGTAAGGAAAAAAAGTTCAAGTAGAAACTATGCTGCTATTATAGCCCGTATGTTCACACTGATTTTTGATATTCAGGAATGACTGGTTCCTTCTAGGGGGAAATGATCTTTTCTTTCAATACCACTTTAAATTATCTGTCATGTTCCTACTCTAAAAATGCAATTATTTTTGTGCTGAATAGATAATTCAGAAAAAAATATTCCACATCTATTTTCCTGCACTATATAATGCAGTTATTTTCTATGTAATACTATTGGACTACAAAGCTAACTCCTCATTTAATATTGGTGTGAATCAATGTTCATAAAACCAGTAAAGCTGCTCTAAAACTATATATCTACATGGAATACATTGACGTTTAGGCTCTGTCAGCCCAATAATGGGGTTACCTGCCTAATTCTATTAAGAGACAGCTGAAATATCTTTTTGTATGCTGTGAATTTTTTCTGTAAAAAAGAAGAGATTGGATTCATACCCCACCCTTCACTACCCAAGGGAGTCTCAGAGCGGCTTACAAACTCCTTTCCCTTCCCCTCCCCACAACAGACACCCTGTGAGGTAGGTGGGGCTCAGAGAGCTCTTACAGAAACTGCTCTTTTTCAAGAACAGCTGTGCCAGAACTATGGCTTGCCAAGGTCATCCAGCAGGTGCAAGTGGAGGAGTGGGGAATCAAACCCGGTTCTCAGATTGGAGTCCGTGTACTTAACCACTACATAAAACTGGCAACTTGGCAACTTAAACAACTTCACTATGGCTGACACTATGTGATCTCTAGACAGTATGTGTAAGCTGGTTTCTCAAAGAATTGTCATTTATTCATTTCAGAATAGTAGTCTGCAATGCAGCCACATTAAAGGTTTGGTGGAAATGTATGGCATCCCATAAACATCACATGGCCAGTTTAATATATTTTACATTGCTTCAGTGGTTAGATCAAATCTCTAGGTTATTCAGGATTTTTCTTTTTTAAAAAATCAGTTGCACCTCTAGGAGTTTTGCAGGTATGAAGCTGCCTTATACTGATTATCAAGAGACACTAGCACTGCACAGTTTGTACTAATTACCACCTGAGGATGAATGGCAGCTTTCTGCTTGCAAAGCCACTGTTCTACCACATCTACACATAAAGAACATATGGCTTGCTTGGATTTGATGTTCTCTTGAGTAGTTCTCTCTGCAGTCCCACAGCTGGATGCTTCTGCATACAAGAGCCCCCCCCTCCCCCCCCCCGTGTGACCTGCTATCTCTGGACACGCCCTGAAAGGTCCAGTGAGCATTTTCCTGCTCATACCTCCTTTGACTGATCAGAAAGCAGCTGCATGGACAAGGTTCTCTGAGCCCTCACTGAGCCAGGGAGCTCTCGGTGAGTTGTCTTCCTTTGTTGCTATAAAGCTGTTTCTTTCTTTAAAATGGGTATTAACCTGTAATTGTGAGTTTTAAATGCTGAATGCAGAGCCACATACTGAGAACTCTAAGGTTAACGTATCTGCTTACCTTGCATCTTGTTCAATATAAACCAGCTCAGAATGTTTTTTACTAAAATCATACAAATATACTTCATGACACTGAAGGTTCTTCTGGACTGTATAAAACAGAATATCATGGGTAGCCCATTCTGGGGGGGAGGGGGGAAAGGAAAGTCAAATAAATATTTGGTTATTACTTTTGGGATATGCAAAACAAATGAATTTAATTAAGGTAACTCAAGTAAAGAAACCAAATAAAGCTTTTCATATGTTTACGGTAGACTGACTGCACATGGTCCTTGGGATCCCAGCCATCAACTAGAAACCTGAAGTTAACGTGGAAAGCAACAGAAACCACTGCAGAGGCCTAGAATCTTCACAGATGATCTTTTCCTGCTTCCTGGCACAATGTGGACACTAGTCATTGCTGCACTGGTGCTAGAATCGTTAAAGAAAGAACCTTCCAAGGCCTTTCTGTTAGGTAATAATTGCACTTCTGTGAGCATTCAAACTATAATACTTTAATGCCGAGAAACCGAAAAAAAATTCTCTGCAGTTAGCATTTTCATTGGAGTTGTGAGTTATGTGTAGAACACAGGTGTGGACACTTACTGGATAGTAAGCATTATCAATCATACATGCCATCTTGTGAAAGATATATTTTTTAGTTTGGTAGTGGATAAGGGCAAGCCTGCTGTATTGGTTAATGAGTGTGAAAACAAGACTGGCAAACAGCAAAGCTCCTGCCCTGCAGTAATTTCTGATCATTTTGTAGACAGGTGGTTTTTTTCCTAAGGCGAGTTGTCCTTTTCTCAACTGGTACATGCCCCTTTTAAAATCTAGGGCACAGCAAACCTGACGCCTCCCTCTCTTGTCTAGGAAAAGGATATCATACAGTTGGCACTGGATCAGCATCAGCCCTAATATAGTCCAGAACAAAGACTGGATTCCTCTATCACATGGAAAGACTCAAAGGAAGAGTGGTGCTACAATACAAACCATGGGAGAGAGTTGTGTTTTCAGTGTCATGAATTTACACACAGGGATTTGTTTCCAAAGGGCACTGACTAGTTAATCGGGATGGTTTGATGGCACAACAATCAAGGTTTGTTATTCTATAAAACAAAAGTGGTTTATGTTAATTGCTTACCAAAGCTAAATACATTTGGGATAATATGCTCCATTACTGGCAACGTATTCAGTTTCACAATGAGAGAAACAGACTCTTCAGAATTTACACTTTTAATACCAGCTGCGATATATCTATGATCTGGGGAAATTCGGATGCGCTGGATAAAAAAACCATGAAAGGGTAGATCTTCCATACGAAGTAATACTTCTATATTTCCTTCATCTAAAATACAAGAGAAAAAGACAATGCTACCATAACAGAAGTAACACAAAGAACCATCAACTGCTTTTGCATATACTATCTTGTCATATATAAATGAACTGTTTTGAAATGAGTTACCACTGCATTGAACCCAAAGGTACAAGCTCGTTGTGACTTAGGAGTGTCAGGTATCCTGCTTCAGTGGGAGACTCTCTGCCCCCTGCTGGCCATTCCTGCTCAGCTGGGCAACAGAAGAAAAATATGGGGGATGGGGGCTGATCAGTGTTGCTGCTGACATGATAACATCACTTCTCGTGTGACCAGAAGTGATGTCATCATCTCACTAGCAACATCACTACATCACTAGCAAGGGTCCCACTCTACTGGAAAGTTTCTTACCAGTTGCCAGCCTCATGTTGGCAACTTTTGTTTTGACTCATTTAGTCCCATAGCTTTAGGTAGGACTTAGACAGCAATCCTAAACAGCTATATTCAGGACTATTTAATGGGGCTTACTACCAGAAAACATTCTTAGGATTGCACTATTAGTTATGAGTAACTTTAGTCAAAAATGTCATCCTAACCAGTGTTACTGTCATATAACTCAATCTGCTCTGTCTGAATGTCTGAAATTTCACAAAAGGTTAAAAATGCAACCTGTGTGCTAATCTGGGAGCTGTCAGTTCAATGCCATCTCAGCCATGAATTCTCAAATTAAAAACCACCATCTCTCAGCTGCAGTCTCCCATCTGCAATACAAGGCTAATACTACCAGCTTTTGTAAGGGTTACTATGCAAATATGAAGCACTTTGAACATTCTAAAGCACTATATACAGTCAAGGTATTATTACTTTTTCCTGAGGATGATCTTCCGTAGCTGAAATGAACAGTGACATCTTCAGCAGAATTAGTCAACTGAAGTCAACACATTTAGAATGCTGTATCTTTGCATAGAATGGCATTGTAAATAGGTTATGCTTGTGAACTGGGAACATACTGCTGAAGATCCTTCTGAAAATGAAGATGATTTGGGAATGAAATCATGTGGAAAGACATAAAGACTGGATAAAGAACAATAAAACACTTATGTACTATGGAGTGCAATCCTAAAAACACTTCCTTGTGAGAAAGGCCCAACAAACAGACCTGAGCAGGATTGCTCTCAGAGCCCAAATCAAGATCTGAATCCACCCCCCCCCATGCTAGGAAGTCTTTGTTGCACCAAAATCAGAACAGAATGCTAAAAATATTCCCCTTATTAATTCAAAATTAGGGTTCAACAATGACAGTTATGTACTGGTCCCTGTCAAAATGAATCATGAATACGTAAAACTAACTATCTGGGGGAGTTTTGGGATTCCTGCCTTCTATGCTGTGATTTCCTACCTGCTTCTTCCAGCCTTGAACGACATATACAATCATCTTCTTCAAAGTAAACATACTCTCCAAACCTAATCTGTTTAAAATTAAAACACATATGAATTTAGTATAAAATATGCAGAATTAGGTCATTTCCTAAGAACATAAGAGAAGCCAATGTTGGATCAGGCCAATGGCCCATCCAGTCCAACACTCTGTCACACAGTGACCAAAAATATCAGGTGCCATCAGGAGGGCCAGCAGTGGGGCCAGGACACTAGAAGCCCTCCCACTGTTGCCCCCCCAAGCACCAAGAATACAGAGCGTCACTTGCCCCAGACAGAGAGTTCCTATCTATACCTTGTGGCTAATAGCCACTGATGGACCTCTGTTCCATATGTTTATCCAATTCCCTCTTGAAGCCATCCATGCCTGTAGCTGCCACCACCTCCTGTGGCAGTGAATTCCATGTATTAATCACTCTTTGGGTGAAGAAGTGCTTCCTTTTATCTGTTCTAAGCCGACTGCTCAGCAATTTCATTGAGTGCCCACAAGTTCTTGTATTGTGGGAAAGGGAGAAAAGCACTTCTTTTTCTACCTGCTCTATCCCATACATAATCTTGTAAACCTTGATCATGTCACCCCTCAGTCATCGTTTCTCCAAGCTAAAGAGCCCCAAGTGCTTTAGCCTTTCTTCATAGAGAAAGTGTTTCAACCCTTTTATCATTCTAGTTGCCCTTTTCGGCACTTTTTCCAATGCTATAATATCCTTTCTGAGGTGTGGTGACCAGAACTGTACACAGTATTCCTGTTCAACAAACTGTGCTGTTCTATGATTTATGTAATGTGTGCAAAATCAGAAAATTTAAAACAGCACTGGATAAAAGCATGCTAGTGGAGGCTATTAATATAATAATGGTAAACACTACAAGGTTCTAAAGCCTGAATTGCAGATGGAAAAAAATCTATTGGTTACAGTTATTTTGACAAACATGCTTTATGGTTATAATCCTAGGCACAGTTACTTAGAACGCTAAAGTGATATACATTTCTGGAGGAATGGAAGCATTTTAAATAATGAATTGTTGAATGACTACAAGAGGTGTCTCTCAGTTCTCTTGTACCTCAGTGGGAGATTCTTTCTTTAGATTTTTTGTGGGCACCTACATTTGTCTGCACTTTCATTTTCACCCAAAATCAGTATTCTTTACAAACCTACAGATACTCCTGCGTTATACGTCATGGTTAGAAATTATTCTGCATTTCAGGATTGTAAAAATAGCCACCATTCTATTCTGCAATTGGTGGCTTACATATTTATCCCACAGTATTCTTCATCTAGGTACAAACATTCATAGTTGTCTATTTTGTTGTTTGGAGAAGGATACAATGCCACAGATAGCAAATAAAAATATGTTTCTACTAGGAAAAAGGCCCATTGTGGAAATAAATACAATGGCCTCTAGAAAGAGGCTTTGGGCGGGTGCCCCGGCTTTGGACACTCTCCAGAGGAACTGATCTCAGCAGGGTATAATGACACTGAGTCCACCATTTTCTCCAGAGGAACTGATCTCTGCTACCTAAAGAACAGTTGTAATTTTGAGTGATCTCCAGCCCTCACCTGAAGATTGGCAACGATGGTTCCCCAGAAGGGAATGGTTGGTTTGGAGGGTGGAGTCTATGGCTTTGTACCTGTCCGAGTTCCCACGCCTCCTGAAACCTCACCCTCTCCAGGCTCCATCCCTCATATCTCCAGAAATTTCCCACCTGGAGTTGGTAACCCTATCTCTTTCCCAGCCAATCATCAACCTACCTTTATTTCCCCCTCACTCTTCAGCTTTCCACCCCCCACACACCTGCAGCCTCTCCCGTGCTCTGAAGCCCTGACTGCTATGTCACATTGGCTGTCATACGGGGGCCACCTCAGCAGCATATAAGGATACAGAGCCCACCATTTTCTCCAGGGGAACTGATCTCTGCCATCTGGAAAGCAGTTGTAATTCTGAGTGATCTCCAGCCCTCACCTGGAGATTGGACACATTTTACCTCAGAACAGCAAACTGTTTAGAATGTTAGAGGCAAAACCCAATCAAGTTGCATATGCAAACGACCTCTGTGTTCTGAGGCAAAGGCCAGTGAGGCTACATATGCAAATAACCTCTGTGTTCTGACTGGCTATTGGGGGGGGGGGGGGAACAGCAAACTGTTTAGAATGTTGGAGGTGAGACTCAAGCAATGCAGCCAGTGGATAGGGACAGATTCTGAGTGACACACCAGGGCGCCAACCAATTCTGGAGCGTGTGGAATGTTCTAAAAAAGTGCTACCACCATTCGGCTTTTATATATAAGGGAGATTGCTGCTCTGTGCTTTTGGTTCAGTTCATTCTGAACTTGCTGTTTGCCTCAAATATGAATATGTAAGGTCTAGGATAAAATCATGACACACCATAAACCATTAAAAAAAAGAGGATCAAAAAAAGGAGGAAATTGGATATAAACATACAATCATGCACCTTAAAAAGAAGATAGAAATATGAGTCACCAAACTGTGGAAAAATGCTGACAGAATGTTTGAGAATAATGTTTGAACTAAGAAGTGAAGGTGGAATGACTAGAATGTAAAAGAACAAATGTAATAGCAGATTGCTCATGGGAGGAATGCCCTGGGTGGGCAGCTAAGATGCTCTTAGGTGTCCTCTTAGTGAGTGGGGAATGCCCACGTTTGACAAAACCATGGCTAACTCTCTTTCCGGTGAACTAACCTGAACAATCAGTTTATATGGAAGGTTGCATCACAACAGTCAATAAAGGGAAAGAGGAGCAGACATTCACACCACATGCATATAACAATATGTAACAAAGAAGCCTTGCGGCACCTGAAAGACTACCAAATTTATTGTAGCATGCATGAAAGAAGAAACTGACCCACATTTAATACAGAAAATGACAGCATCCAGAAACTCATAGAAGAATATTGCAATCTACCAGGACACTCTGAAAGTTACCATTTTTTACAAACTTCAATGGAAGACCTCAAACGAAAAACTGTCAAATTAAAATTTATCACTGGTTTAATTGTAATAACCAGGACTTAACAGATTTGACTCCTTTTTTAGACTTTATAGACATTGAATTGCTTCATATTACCAAGTAATCTCCACTATCAATTACAGCTGTTGTGCTTATCTTGTATTAGTTTGAACTTGCATGGAGATGTGACAGACTATACCTTTCGCAGTTCATGGATTTTTTAGCTCACTATTCACAGCTCTGCCCCACCATCCCACTGTATATATATTTCTACTGACTGACATTTCGCTTCATGCATTTGATGAAGTAGGATCTAGCTCATGCTTCAACAAATTTAGTAGTCTTTAAGGTGCAACATGACTCCCTCTGGTTTTTGCTACAACAGTGAAACACAGCTATGCTACTGGAATTAGCACATCATAGTACCTCTGTATAAACCTTCTGGAGCAAATCTCATTAAAACCAACAATAATATTAGGAATATGTATATTTAGAGATCTTCAAAATGTGTCAATGCAGAATACCACAAAGAATTAAAGGGCTGCCTGATGCATACTGTAAAATAAATGACCTTTAACAGGAGCTCATGGCATTTTTAGCATTGGGTAGTTGCCTAATATTATCTATTATTTCTCAGCCCATGTAACAAGAAAACAAATTTCACCCCATCACTACTTAAGTATTCTTCAAATCATTTGCAGGATTAATCTAATTATAATAAGATAGTAGCTTGTAAAGGGCCTCTGCATTTTTAATTACTTTCTGCCATTTATTTTCTTACTTACCATTGAACTGTCCAGATTAGATGAATACTTCTCATAATGAGTTTCCAGTCTTTGCTTCAATCTCTCGGTCTTTCCTGTGTAATTTGATTGAAACGCACTCCAGTGTTCCTGCTCTGACTTTAGCAGATCCTAGTATACACAAGTCAAAAGAAGCAAGTGCTAGAGGGACTGTACTTCTTGCCTTGCTACGCAAAACTATACTAATAAAATTTGGCCCTTCAGCACTAGATTGGATTTGGGGTTCTCAATAAGAGCCTCAGAAACAGCCATTTAACAAGATAGCATTTATCCTGCTTTATTACTAGGATTATGAAATCAAATTTGGCCTTTCAGCAATCTGACGGGGAGGATATTGCATACTAAATCTTAGAAAGGCCAAGTCAAAAAACAAGGATCTTCACTTTCTTCCTCACAGGCATCAAGCTCTTAGTGCCCCTCACTTAATTGTATGAGGAAAAGGAATTCTCATCAGTATTTCTGATCAAAGCGTAGTTTGCAGTCTTCTCTACCTTTGTTCAGAAGATCAAGGAATTCCTGCAATGATTCAGAGGCAAGGATTCTTCGAAAAGTAGAGCTTCCTACCAGCAATATAACATGTAAGGGGAGAAACGCTATCAAGACCCTCAATGCGGATCCAGACATCATTATTCTACCAGCTGACAAAGGCAATGCCACAGTGATTATGAAAACGGAAGAATACCAAAATAAGACTAGAGAACTTCTGGACCCCACCATATACAAAAAACTAAAACGAGATCTAACCTGCAAAATCATCAGGCAAATGAGCTCGCTGATCAGGAATCCTCACTTCATCCTGACATAAGCAAAAAACTATACAAGATAGAAGCACAGCCACCACAACTATATGGACTCCCTAAAATTCACAAAGACTCAGTCCCACTCCGACCCATCATGAGTGCCATTGGTTCCCCTACATATGAATTAGCTAAATATCTGGCCAATCTCCTACAGAATTACATCGGGAAAAACCACAGCATACATCAACGATTCAACACATTTCATTAACAAAATCCGTCCTCTGAAACTCAACCCACAGGACATACTCATCAGTTTTGATGTGGCATCTATTTTTACCAAGGTTCTGGTAAAAGACACACTCACACTTGTTAATCAGCCTTATTCCACCATTATTTGACAACCAGTTACTCTCAATGGGATAACGAATTCTATGATCAATGGGGTTGCCATGGGAAGCCCTCTCAGCAAACTTCTACATGGAACGTTTTGAAAAAACAGCTTTAGAATCTGCACCCCAGAAACCTACAGTCTAGTTCCGGTATGTAGATGATACCTTTATCATATGGAGCCATGGAGAGGTAGAATTGATGGAGTTTTCAGACCACCTCAACAACATCCACCCGAACATACAATTCACCATGGAAAAAGAAATCAAGGGTAAATTCCCATTTCTAGATATCATGGTCATCCACAAAGCTAACCTTCAATTAGGTCACAAGGTCTACAGAAAACCAACTCATGTGGATCGTTATTTAAACAAAAACTCCAATCATCACCCTCAGCAAAAAAGAAGCATAATCAAAACATTAGTAGACTGTGTGAGACGGATAAGTGAACTGCATTTTCTCAATGATGAACTAAATCATCTAAACCACACACTTCAAGCAAATGGCTACTCCAAGAAGAGCCATTAAACCAAAGGTAAAACAAACAACTGAGGAAAAACAGTCTACCACAGGAAAAGTGTTTTTGCCATATATCAAAGGTGGGAAAACTTATGACAAAACACAACCTACAAACAGTATTCAGACCCACCAGAAAAATTCAACAGATGCTACGATTGGCAAAAGACAGAAAAGACCCCCTCACTTCTGCAGTTGTGGACAGGTTGACATCGGGACCACACAGCGTAGCATCCAGACAAGAATAAAAGAACATGAAAGACACTGCAGACTTGGCCAACCTGAAAAATCAGCAGTGGCTGAACATAGCCTAACTCAAACAGGACACAGTATCTTATTCAAAGACACTGAAATGCTGGACAACAAAGCCAATTACCATGTCAGATTACACAGGGAAGCCACTGAAATTCATAAACATAAACACAATTTCAACAGGAAAGAAGAGAGTTTAAAAATAAATAGGGCATGGTTTCCTGTCCCGAAAAACACAAATGCTCCACATCTTACAACAGCACTACAGATAAGATTAGAATTTCAACAGCCAATCCATATACAAAAGAACCTCTTCAGGAAAGCTCCTCCATTAGCATGTCACAGCCTGGGAAACTCTTACAATTTAATAATTCAGCCCTACCCCACCTTCCTGAGTAGATATAAAATTACCTGCCTACCATTTTTCTTCTCATATTTACACAGAGAGTACTCCATCTTTCTGTGTTATACCACTGAGGATGCCAGTCACAGCTGCTGGTGAAACGTCAGGTACTACAATGCCAAGACCACGGCCATACAGCCTGGAAAATCTACAACTAATAGATTCAGAGTTTGTTGTCAAGGAAATAAATTAACAAACATAGGGAGCAGAAGGATGTAGAATAACTGTGTGCTGGGGAAAACTTGGAAAGCAGTAACTCCCAAGCAAATGCAATGCTTGTTAGGACTGTCACAGCACTGTGTGTGGCACAAAAGCATTAGTGAATGATGATCATGAGACCAAGCTGGCATTGTGCCTGCAGGCCTATAAGTGCATGATGCCATCCGTTTTCTATTTGCCAGCAAGTGCACATATTCTGTTACAATATTGTTAGATCACTGGTAGATCTTACGGGCAAATGTGAAGGGTGATGCAAGCTTTCCATTATCTTCCGAGGTCTCCCACCAAACTGCACACACAACATTAAAAAGTGAAGTCTCCTGCCTGATTAATGTGTGTGAGGGGAAAAGATTGCATCTGATCTATTTAATGCCCACTTAGGAGAACCCCATCTTCACTGTCCCATAAGGCCCCATGATTTCCCTGAGAGCATCTAATTCGGTAGCAGTGGTGAAACTAAGGTGGAGGGAGTCTCCTGTAAGTGGTGCTGTTTGTTAAAGAATGAAATGTAAAAATAATAATCTGTAATGAATCACATGATGAATAACCTTGATGATGGATACTTCTGCAGGATACTTCTTGAACAGATCAATATCCTCATCACTCTTTGTCCCCTCCTTCCTTTAATTGTCACTCAGCATTCGAACGGCACCAATCAACACGCCATTTGGAAGAGATTTTTTCCAGTTTCCAGTATTGTAATTCTCCCCAAACCCACATTTTGCAATTCAAATCATTACAGAATATAAAGAACTTTAGAAGGAAATAAGCCCAGCTTGCATCTTTTATTTAGACTGTACTATTTAGATTTTATACTTACAGAATCAGGAGACCTTTTAGTGGAGAACTATAGCTATCTCAGTTAAACAACTGACCTAAGCAGAGTTGATTTTTTTTAATGGATGTGACGTTCAAAGGGTGTAAACTCTTACTTAGGTTTGAACTGCAAGAGTCTCACTGCCTATGAAAGGCTATCAAGTTTATTGTGGCACAAACTTTATCCTGGTTATTAGATTTCTAGTGGTCAAGTTTCAAAACAATAGATTGAACAGTAAAATGGAGGATGGGTAACAAGAAATTTGTGCATCTCTTGAGTTCCTTGGAAGAAGAGCAAGTTAATAGACAAATAAGATTATACAATTGAGCCAGAAATTATTATATGCTAACCATGAACCATTAAGCAGAATGGAATTTTTTAAACCTTATTCAGCCACTAACCTTGTAGTGGTTCATGGTTTACCTGAAAGAAGGTGGTGCTTTTTATTATGTGAAATCAAACTTTGTACCTTGTAAGAAAAGAGCCTCCATGGCTGAATGCCTCCTTGGAAACTTGGAAGAATGCAGGCATTTCTAACGTTTTTTGTGAGGAAAAATATTTGTGGTTTCATTCGACTATAAAGTCTTATAGTTAAAGTGGGTGAAAATCTGGAACAATTTACACAGGGTCCAACAGCGTCCTTCAGGATCTGAAGAAAATATTTTGTGCCTAAATGCATGATGCTAAAAATCTTTAATATGTCAATTCCTCATTCTTCTTTAAAGCCAAATCAGGTGCGATTAAACCAGGCACTGTTGCATAATATGAACTAATGTTACAACGCATCCCCAAAGATGAACAATCTTCAATGTCCCAGGATTCAGAGTAAAAGCTAGAAAAGAAAAAAGAAACTGTAATTTAAATGGCAAAGAAACTAAAAGCAATCTGAAGACTGAGTCTCCTTATTCCCTTCTAAAACAGAATTTATATAAAAAATGGAAACAGTTTTTCTAAGAATGCATAATGCCAATATCACCCTACTAAAAAGATACCCCACAATCGATAATGGATCTTAGTTATTCCACAAAATAAGCATCTGAGAACTCTATGATATCTGCTGGCCAGATCTCCTTCCATCCCCTTCCTCATTAAATCTGTCGGTACAATATAAAACGGCAGTGAAAATTACACAGACCCATTCAAGGTTGAAAGACCCACAGGACTTCATGTAAGGGGCCCTTGTTTGCATCAAGTTCATTTATTTGGAAATGTTCTAAAGTCATGAACATCTGACATAGAAGGCAAACCTAACATCAGTGTATATTCAACTGAGGGGAAAAAAATTAAACACTCACATTTTCTAGCATACACCTTCACAAGTTGTGACCTGCCATGTCAATCACAGCCCACCAGCCACTTATGGTTTCCACTAGGAACCCAGAAAAAAACCTCAGATTCAGTGGCTGTTACCCTGAAACAGGATGCTGTCAGCCATCTGGCAGGCTACAACATATGGTTAGTGCACTAAATTTGGCTTTATCATAATTTGTGCAGATTTTACTTACAAAAACCTCAGTCTTCCATGTGCACTTCAGCAAAGAATGTTATATTTATCCCTCTTAAGTGTTGGACTAGGATCTGGGAGGTTGAGGTTCAAATCCCCAGTCTACCAAGGAAGCTTGTTTGGTGACCTTGGGCCAGTCACACACTCTCCCCCCGATCTACCTCATAGGGTTGTTATGTGAGGATAAAATGAAGGAGAGGAGAGCAGAACAAGGTAAACCAAATTGGGCCCTCGCTGGGGAGAAATGCTGGGTATAAATGAAAGAAACAGGTTAGTGTGCATTTTCTTTTGATGTAATAGCTACTCAGTGAAAATGGTAGGATGCACAAAACTGGATACATGACTGACAATGCTATTATTTCAGCCTTTTGATTGGGCAGAAATGCATTTGGATCTAGATTATGGAAATGGAGTTACTGCTTCCTTTTCTATTAAATAAACAGTAGGCAGGAATTTGTAAGGAACACAAAAATAATAATTTGATTGAAAAGAACTTCAGTGTTCCTAATCTGACTTTAGCAGATGCTAGTATAAACAGGCCAAAAGAAGCAAGTACTTGAGGGACTGTACTTGTTGCTGTGCTCTGCCAAGGCATCAGGTTCTAAGCGTATGTGGAAATGTACTTTGCACATAAAAAGGAAGTGGCACTTCTGCTGGTGTGTGGTCTTTTCTGTTCTTGTTGTACACGAGATCTGGGAATTCCAGGGCTGATTTGTAAGTAGAATGTTAGAGCATCAATCTCAATGCCACACAGAGCAGATATATATCACCAACAGGTAGGAGAGGGAACATTTTATCATTTCTTATAGGATGTAAATCAACAGACGCAAGAAGCAGCGGGCTATGGAATAATTGTATGCTGGGGGGAAACAAAGCCTTCTTTCCAACGCATTGAAAGTAGCAAACTTCAAACAAATGCATTGCTTGATATACTGTCACAACCTGTGAACTGTTGCTCGTGCTGCATTGTGTGTGACATAGAATCAACAGTGAGTGATGATCTTTAGGCCAAGCTAGTGTTGTGTATATTGCCATCAGTTCTGATAATAACCCCAGGCATGCTTACTGAAAAGTAAGTTTCACATGGTTACATAGAACCTGCTTCCTAGTGCTCAATATTACAACTCTCGCTATAGCTGTTTTATACATCTCTGCAACGTAAAAGTAAAATTAAATCTACTCGCTCTCCCCCTACATTTCCTATCAATACCAGAATTTGGCCAGAGACCCAGATTTTTGGCAGCACCCACGCTTCAAATTCTGTTAACAACGGAAACAATAGCCAGTCTTAATCTCTACATTTTATTAATAAAATCGTTGGAACATAAAATTAAAATACCTTTTTGTTTCTCAGCATGCTGGAATTTCACTTTCCACGAATCACTAGGAATACCGCCGTTTTGAAGCAGTTGATCACCGACGACCAGCAGCGTGACGCGCTAATAACGATGACATCATAGAAATGCGTCTGACTCCTTGAGCTGCCCACACGAGATATGTGAGATACCTTTGCCCATAACAAAGATGGCAGTCAAACGTCGTCTTCCTCAGTCATCACCTTGCCCTTATTCACCATGGCGACCGCCACCCCTAACTATTTGAATCTTTTGTCCGCCCAAACGTAAGATGGCGACAAGTTTGAGTTGTTCTGTCCCCATTTTGGATTTGGGAATTCAAATATACAAACTGAGGCGACATAATTATCCAGTAAATTAAATCAACTATATAGTGTGCACGAACTGAACTGCCGAGGTTTGTATGGTTTCGCTCCGCGTTCTCTTTACAGAGAGAACTCAACGGGTGAACTTTCCCCCCTCTATCACAGAGACGAAGTGCTTGGGACAGAAAACTTTTATCTCTTCAAATTCTGCAGGTCGGACCGCACAGGAGTTCTGTCAGAAAAATAAGATGGCAACCCTGAAAGTTTCTTACTGCATCGAAAAGAAAAAGACATGACACAGTGCACTACTCGCTCCGTCGCGTTCTGGCCCGCACGTGGCTGCAACTGTTCCGTGCAGTTTTTCGCCCATCTCAAAGATGGCTCCAAACGGTTCTCTGTCTCTGCCTGCTAAGTGGGCGGTTCGATGAGCTACTGTTCCTCAGAAGGACTGAGCCTGAGGCGAAAGCTTTTCAGCTCGGAGGGTGCCCCACGTGCCCCTGGGGAACTGCATGTAGTGAGCCTGGGTGACTTTCCCGCTCCTCCGTCCTTTCTCAGTTGTTTTTTTTTTTTTTTAGGGGGGGGGGATGTTTTCTGTAGCCTAAACCTGGGGGAAAATTGAGAACATGACTGAGGCAGCCTCGAGCATTCCTCCTCCTCCTCCTGAAGCTGACAGGTGTCAGACAGGGAGAGAAGACGGAGACGCTGAGAAAGCGTGGAAAACAAGCAAGCAGGCGGTCGCTAAAGCCCGCTGGAAGCTGCTCCGACAGGTATAACAATAACCATAACGTTTTGTTTCCCTCCAATATGTTTTCCCTCAAGGAACTTCCTTAGCGTTATGCATAAATTCTCTAGCACCATCTTGGTGGGTCAAAACGCTTTGCTGTAACGGTTTAATTCACCTCTGCAATATCTTTGGAAGGTAAGTAATGAATGTCTGTATGGGTAGATACCTGCAAGTCATTGACAAGAGAAGTTGATAGAGCATGAGTTGTCCAAAGGTCCCCCCTCAGGAGTTTAGGGTTGAAGGAGTTGAACTCAAGTGCAATGCGGCTTCATAGCTAAAATAAAAGTTCTTGGATGCTGTGGATCATAGTTTTGTGTAGCTTGTTTTTTGTGGGCTACCACCTTCTCTTGTATCTGAAAAAGTGTGCCTGCACATGGATGCTCATACCTTGAATAAAACCTTGTTGGTCTTAAAGGTACCACTGGACCATTGCTCCCTCTAAGCTGTGGAGTCTTGTGAGCAAAAATTCTACTTCATGAGCTACTGGCATTAAAGTTGTGAGCAAGCAATTTGGCTACTGCATAAATTAGTTTGCTTTGGAGCCATCCTTCCTGAGTTAAGACAAAAATGTGTGAGCTGGAGGCTGAAAAACTGTGAGCTAGCTTACACTAATTCAACTTAGAGGGAACACTGCACTGGACTCAAACTTTGTTTCAGCTTTCACCTTCTCTTGTGTTAGGGTGGTTTTGCAAGTGGGTGCTGGAAAGGCTTCTGAGTAGAAAAAGAAGCCTTCACCTACCTTGCTGTTGCTGCACTTAATGAGTGAGGCAAAGAGAAAAGAAGTGCAGGTGCTCTGTGTCACAGAAATGTACATCGGTCAGAACACAGATATTTCCATATGACTCTGGTGTTGTATTCACAGCATACAGTTGCTTGTGTTGCTGTCACAGTGTGTGGGAGCTACTCACTGTGTGGATAATAAAACGGTCTTGTCGATTCTCAAAGACCAAAAACACTTTATTTTAACATTTCCCCCTTTTTTGCCATCAAGTCACAAGCTGACTTATGTTGACCCTGTAGGGCTTTCAGGGCAAGAGACGCTAAGAGGCGGTTTGCAATTGCCTGTCTCTGTTTAGCGACCCTGGTGGTTTCACATCCCTGCTTAACTTCTGAGAATTGATGAGATTCTGGGCTATCCAAGTCAGGACAATTTCAACATTTTTCCTTATCTCCTGCATAGGAAGATTGCCTACATCTGAGGAAGTGGCTCTAGTCTACAAACTTGATGCAGGAATAACATTTGGTAGTGTTTATGGTGCTTCAAGACACCTGTTTATTTTTGTTGCAATAAATGGCTCAGATGTAGGAAGATTGCCTACATCTGAGGAAGTGGCTCTAGTCTACAAACTTGATGCAGGAATAACATTTGGTAGTGTTTATGGTGCTTCAAGACACCTGTTTATTTTTGTTGCAATAAATGGCTATTCCCATGGAATTATCATCTTGAAGATAATGTCTGCCATTATCTTTGCCAAAGCTGCAAATCTCATGAAAGTGAGCCATGAATTGTTAGTTGTCCAGAGTTTAAGAATACTAGAACTAACATGTTACAAATAGCCAACCATTTTAGAATAGATGTTAGTGTTCGGCAGTGGTATGAAAAGAAACATACATAAACTGAACAATGAGGAAATTTTTTGGTTGTTACAAAAAGAACTTTAGGATATTGGATTTCTTCCGGATTCTGGAAAAATTCTTTTAGGGCTGTCATCAACAGAATAGTGTTCATTTTTACCAGATATGTTTGAATTGGATTTTTAATTTTTTATAACTACAAGGGTTGATTCACAGAGTGAAGCCTGGGGGAGGACCTCAGGAGTTGTTAATGCCATCGTCTACCTTCCAGAGCAGCCATTTTTTCAAAGCCCCACATGGAGGTTGGCAAACGTACTATTAAGTAACAACTTAAAGGTATTAAGCCATCACAGAGCTAACATTATAGATAGAATTTTCATATTCTTTGTGTCAACTCAAACACAGTATTTTTCAGGGGACCCGTCCAGCTGCCAGTTCTCAGGTGCTGAGGAAACAAGTGCTACAGACATGTGTAAACCAGCCCTTCTTTGGGTCTATATTGGCTGGAACAGAGATCCAGTTTTAATAAGGCTTCCTGAGTGCTGGTGCAAGGGGGTGGATAAATTGTCCCCTTGTATTATGGTAGAGCTGGAAAATGCAAGTATGAGCTGTCTTAGTGCTAGTATGATCGGGCTACCAGCATTCAGCTTCAGCTGAACTATTGCAAGGTGAAGCCTGACTTCGTTTGAAGCATGGTATCAAAATAATATTTATTGCTTTTTCTGTTAGTTCTCCACAGCTCTCTGTTAACTTGTACAGACACATTAAGAACTGTAACTTCTCAAGTGAATATTTCTGCATAATAAAGTGTACCCAGGCAAAGTTTTTTTGGCAAATGGGTAAGATTGGCAGTGGCGCTTCCATGTACATTTTCTCTCATGTACTTTTTCTTGTTGAACAGCCTGCCTGAGGAGGTTAGGCACCCCCCACTTCTATCATTTTGCAGAATGTGCAGAACATAAATGTTCAAGAGGGCATTTTTATTAAGGAATTAGAACTGTAGTATAATGGAAGAGCTAAGAGGACACTTTTGTCAGGGAGCAGGATTGTAGTCTGTTTCATTGCTTGTACATAACCTAGTTTTGACAGCATTGTCTTCTGCCTTTGTAATCCACTTTCTGCATTATAATATGAGATGCCTTAGACAGTTTTTGTTTGCATTGTTTTCTAATCCTGTAATCCTAGTTCTGTCATTGTTTATTGTATGTTTTTATGTTGTCTGAATTTTTAATAATATTTTGTAATATGCCTTGAGTTTCAGTGAGAATGTAAATGAAGTGAATAAAATCAACTAAGTTAAATCAACTACAGTGCTGTGATGTCGAAATCTTTAAACTAATTTCTGATGCAGGGTGATTTTGTCCCAAATTTCTACCTAGTTGTTTGCAACTAGATTTTAATGACAGTATCCCATGTGCAGACTTAACTGTTGGGAGGAAGATATACAGATGCCTGTAGTTAGCTCAAAGTGAACAATTTAGTGCCTCTGAAATTTTGTTCTAATATTAGGATGTAATCTGATTTACACTTTGTAACTGTGATGTGTAAAAAAAGTGGTGGGATTTGATGCAAAGAATGAGGCTGTTTGTACATCATGCTAAGCAGTGGTAGTGTTCTGGTACAGCACAAAAAAGCTCTACATTTTGTACAGATGCTGTGAGTTGGGATGGTAGTAGTGTGGTTTCCAAGGTTTAATAGAAGTCCAGATGCTGATGGAGAGGGAGCATGGAGCAGAGAGGAGGTGGAACTGACACAAGCCTATCAAAGTCGTCACAGTGTCTGGTTTGTAGGGGTGCATTACTAATCCCACAAAATCTGAGAAAACTAGAAACATGTATACCTAATACAACATTAGGTTGCGTAAGAAGGCAGATGGAGATGCAGAGAGTTTCTAGCTGGATTTAGCTGAAACTGGGGTGCAGCCTTTGTAGGGAGGATGGCTGCCCCAATTGCTCTGTAGTTGTTTGCTGAAGGAACATATGTTTGATTCAACTATGTTCTACTAATTTTCAGACACTATAAGCCCTTTTCATCCATTATAATTGTTGTGGGCCAGCCATGCATTAGGGGAGATCTCAGTATGTATGATGTGTGATCTCTCAGTGTGGTTGCCATTTTGTGTGAATAGTGAAATATGTGTGTGTTCCTCCTGCAGGACACATTAATCAAAACTCTGATTTATTAGGGTACTCATTCACATGCACCAAAGTAGGAAAGGATATGCTTTCCTCTGTTCACATGTAATGGGGACAGCACATTTTGAGAGGATTGCACGTAGTACGATCCCTCCTAGTACACAGATAACCTGCAAAACTTGTAACTCCTGAAAACGGCTTAAGTCTTCATTGCGCAGAGAAGTAGAGAGCACATGATAAGACTTCCATTTAATACTTACTACAGAACCAATTTCTCTTAGAAAAAGGGAGGGGAAGGATCCCTCCCTGCTTTTTGGTGATGCTATTTAAGCAGAATGAGAATGAGTAAGTGCTGTGTTTTTTGTAACGCAAAGACTGTTTACAAATTTAGCATTTTTTAAGGTAAATTAAGAAGTTCTTATCAAAGCATGGGGAGAAATGAGAGCATGCAAGGAGAAGAGGGAACACATAGCTCTGATGTATGGCTTGTGGTTTGGCTGATGCATGTGAACTGGGCTGTCTGAGGTCCAAGGCAGAAGGAATTTAGCAAAGGGTTTTTGGGTTTTTTTTGGTAGATTATTCCATTTGTCTGGGTTCATCTTTGTGTTTGGTTTCATAGCATGCTCATCCTCAGAGTGAAAATTTCCAGTAACTTCAGATGAATTGCTGCAGATGAGTTAAAGAACTGAACTTTAAAAAAATAATTAGAAATCAAACTAGAAGTAATTTTAAATGAACATTGTTAAATATAGGTAGGTAGCCGTGTTGGTCTGAAGCAGCAGAACAAAGTCTGAGTCCAGTGGCACCTTCAAGACCAACAAAGTTTACTCTTCCTACAGCATAGAATCGGGTGCTCCCTGCTGGCTAAAGTGGGATATTCGACGGGAACGGCTCTAAATGTGGCAATTCTTTTAAAGGGACAGTGTTTATAATAAGAGGCAGCGAATCTTGGATTACGGACGAAATTGAGACCGTGTATAGCTTGTATTGGATGGTGGCAAGCAGATTAAAAAGCGATTGGATTACTCTTGTACCATAAAATCTGCATGCAAAGTGAACGGCTGGTCTCTCTAACCAGAGTGTGGATGAAGCAACAAGCGAGTGAAAGCCGTGTAAAAGGAAAGCGGTACTAACTGGACAGAGCCTGTTTCATTAAAGCTGTTAAGAAAGAAAAATCAACAGAAAAGGAAGAGGACAAATTGAGACGACTGTATGGACTGAGTGAATCTAGGTCCCACAACGTCGAGTTTGTGGGGAGGGAGGGAAAGTGTAA